TTTACAAAGAATGCTCTACTTATAAAGAAATCTCGTGAGCTATCTTTCCTCTGAGTGCTATCTCAGTTCACTTCAGATGACAGTTTTAACAATAAGTTGCTACAGCATGTCAGGGACCATTAACATTTCATCTTTAACAAGTGATGTGGTTCTTATTGTGATCCATACAGTGATTAATCCACCTCCAGAATTTCTTCTTGGCAATCTGTTTTCTAGAATCTTTTCTGGTGTCAACTAGCTTAGGTTGGATTCTCTGGGAACAGAACCTGTGATGGAGATTTTTGTGAAAATGATCTACTAAAAGGGTGCTTTCAAAATAAGGGGAATAAAGAAGGTGTAATAGGACAGTGGATGAAAGATAAGTAAAGAAATGCTTTTTCTTTGCGAATGATGTCAGCCTGGTCTTACAAGGAGCTCTAAAACATAGGTTGAACCACAGAATTTGTCTAATACTGAGGCAAGAGGACAGCCTTTTGCATCTCAGATTCAGCAAGTCATTTGCCTCTGGTTCACCCAAGGTGTGGGACATAGCTTTCTAAGCAAGGCAGATCCCAGTAGGCTCAGAGTAATTCTTAGGGGATAGGGTAGAAACAGGTTTGAGCCATTATCAGCCAATATTCACAGCATCTGTGGCTTTGATGAGCCACTCCAGTGAAGGACATCTGGGCAGAGCACCAACAGTACACACACATATGATAATGTTAGAAACGTAGGATATTTCAGATACATTTATCTCCTTTTTCCCTTTGTGTAATTGTTGGCATGCATCTTAAACTCCACATGTACTTAAAATGTATATGACATTGCTATTAATATTTTTGTGATTCTATTTGTTCATTTTTAACTACTTATTTTCTTTATTCTCCACAATTTTGTTTTTCCATTAATGGGCATTTTATTCTGCCTGGACAACCTTCTGTTATTATTAGTAGTAGTTATAGCAACATTAAAAATTGCACTATTATTTTGTATTTTATGCTGTTAATAAATTATATTTTTGTTTCCAAAAGAGGGGTAGGAAAAGAGAAGTAGGTACATCTAGGTAAAGTGAAGGTCAAAGTGGAGAGTTCTTGCTTTTATCCTTCAGGAACTTACTGAGCATCTGATTCTGGTAAGTTTAAGGAGCTATAAATCCTTTTGGAAGCCTAAATCTAAGGTTTTACTAAACAGTTTACATCTGCATGCATGTCTATGGGGAGGAAGAGTAAGTGGCTTCAGTGTGTGTGCATACATGAACAGAAAATATATTATGGCCTGAGGTTTAAATAGGAAGGTTAAATATCATTTTTCTAATACACTGATATTAGTAGGGACCTATTTACTTAATAATATGACAAATAAAAGCAAGCTTTATGGTCAATTAAAAAATACAAATTACTATTGTCCAGTCTAAGACTTGATGTCTGGAGGGAATGGCTAGGGAAATTTTGTTGAAGTAGTTATTTGTCACTTGTATTTACTAATTATCTTCATCATGTTAGAAACTGTATCAGATAGTCCAGCATAAGTCTGAGGTAACATCTGCTTAAGCAGCTTTCCTGGATTCACAGAGGGTAAATTGCCAAGCTGAGATTTACACCAAGCTGTTTGTGCATTAGTTGGAGAACTATTTTTGCCTTAAAGAATAGCAATTCTAAATGGCATGGGCAATATTTGATCTGTGGACTGCCTTCCTTTAAACATTCCCTTCTTTTGGCATCTACTATATTCTGCCTCTCTGAATACTGCTTTGCAAGATGCTCTCAACAATCTTCCTGCTCCTCAGCATTCAATAAGATTTAAATTTTGTATTACTATATGATTTCATTTACTCTTTGGTTTCAGATACCATCTATCATGTCAACACTACTGAATAAACAGCCTTGTTGAACTATCTCTTCTGAAGTTCATCCACATCCAAATGCATACTCTGTGTAATAATGAGTTTACCACTGAAAATATGGGAGGAGTAGACATCAATATCCCCTAGTTCCTGCCACAGAAGAAAAGGGAGAAGGTGCTAAGAAATGATTCTACATATTATATATTCCTTCTATTCACATTCATTCTTTGCATATTTGCTGAGAGCCTTTTGTATGCCACATATTATATTGATGACAGATACAGGAGGAAAAATATAACCTTTTCCAGACCTTTTTAACATTGAGTAGTCAATGTGTACGGTAGTAGTGGAGTTGGGTAGGGTAGAGTTACATGAAAGTAGTACGTTATAAAACACTGCAGAATCTTCTATAATAAAAGATGCATGACAGCTGCATTCTCTGAAAGATCTAAGTCAATATCCCTCAGCAAAAGGGGGAAAAAAAAGAACCCCGATTTAAGTGCTGATAAGAAAGCATAGTCCAACAAATACCAGGAGAATGGTTTTAATGACATCTCACAATCCACTACCACCTTCACAATATACTTATCCTGTGTTTTGCATTAGGTTCACCACCATGGTGGGAGATTAAAGTTCAAACTATTCAAGGCTTTTTCTGTGTAGAAGGTGCAGATCCATTCACATGCTGCCAAATGTTTTTTCATTGTTGTTGTTGTTGAATTTTAGGTTTTGGGGTACATGTGAAGAACATGCAAGATTGTTGCACAGGTACACACATGGCAGTGTGATTTGCTGCCTTCCTCCCCATCACCTATATCTGGCATTTCTCCCCACGCTATCTCTTCCCAACTCCCCACCCCCTGCTGTCCCTCCCCTGTTTCCCCCCGACAGACCCCAGTGTGTGATGCTCCCTTCCCTGTGTCCATGTGTTCTCAAAATGTTTCTTAGAAGACAGTACCTAGCAAAAGTAAAATGTATTGGTCCAGGACTGCTTGTTATTTACTATGTACTTTTAAAATTATCCTCAAAAAAAAATTGCAAAATACAATATAAATTCACAGTTAAGCTTTCATAGAAAGGAGCTCAATAAATTTTCAGTGCCCCTATGTTCTCCACTGAAAACTGATGACATTTTTTTCTTGCAAGTTGAAGTTTAAAAAATTCTGTTTGAGGATACCATGTCCTGTTCTCTCTAGCCTTCCATTGGTTCTACCTTCAACTTTTGTATTTTTGCTATTTTTAATGGAAATTATTAATTTCATAATTTTTATTTATGCATTTACTTAGAAAGCTTATTAAATAATAGCTGGAAATTCTGATGGTTATCTTTGAGATATCTGCTTCTCTGATAGTTTTACCAATTTTGACCTGTTTATCTTGAAGGCCAAAAACTTGATGATAAGTTGCAAGATTGCATAATTTACTTCTGAAAATATAACTTGTATATATTTTTAAAAGAGAATAAAACAAAACCAGGTTCAGTTTATTATGTAGGTAAATTTTTAGTGCTTTATTTCAAACTTTTGGATTCTTTTTCATTTAGAGTTTATTTGACTAAATATGCATTTATTTGACTAATTTCTATGACTAATTAAATACAGAGATATGAGATAAAATCCAATCAAGATAGATAAGATAAATATGCACATTATACTGCTGTAAAGCTTCAAATTGTTTCTTGAAATAAAATGATAACATTAAGTGTGAATCATAAGTGTTTGGGCTAGGAATTATCATATTTAATACATGAATATATACATGAAGAAATAAAGATACATAGCTCCAAAGGATTCATCCACTGTTTTATTTCTCCAATGTGTTCTATTGGAAACTACTGTGTAATCAGTGTTAATATTTATAGAAACTTGTTTGTGGTTTATATACCTAGATCTGTGTTTGGAACTTCATAAACATCTATAATCATCAAAACATACCAAAATTGTATTCATTTTACAGATTTAAAATAAGGCCCAAATAAGTTTAAGTCAAACAAAGGGAAAATGCATTTGAACAGAAATCATTGTGTTTATTGTTCAATAACACTTGATATAACATATATATTTACTTATGTGTAAAATGTGCATAAGTACCTGCCTATTAAGTATAAGAGGTAGTCTATAAACTCATTTACTTTATAGCATTTAATGACTTAATATTTTCCAAATATTTGCAGTGATCTCTGAATATTTTCTTAGACCATTTCTTTTTCTTTTTTTTTTTTTTGAGACAGAGTCTCACTCTGTCACTAGGTGCCAGGCTGGAGTGCAGTGGCGCAACCTCGGCTCACTGCAGCCTTTGCCTCCTGGGTTCAAGCAATTCTCCTGCCTCAGCCTCCTGAGTAGCTGGGACTACAGGTGTGTGCCACCATGCCCAGCTAATTTTTTTGTATTTTTAGTAGAGACGGGTTTCACTGTGTTGGCCAGGATAGTCTCAATCTCTTGACCTCATGATCCTCCTGCCTCGGCCTCCCAAAGTGCTGGGATTACAGTTCTTAGACCATTTCTTTCAAACTTTCTACACAAAGCTCAGAGATCTTATTTTAAAGCCCATATAGGTACTACTGAAGACCATGGAAAAAGTAGTAGAAAAGATTCTAAGCGTCTTATTATCATTTCAAAGAAGCTCCACTTTGATATGTTTTATATATTTGGTTAGAAATTTTAAAAAGTAGGGCCGGGAGCGGTGGCTCATGCCTGTAATCCCAGCACTTTGGGAGACTGAGGCAGGTGAATCACCAGAGGTCAGGAGTTTGAGACCAGCCTGGCCAACATGGTGAAACTCCATCTCTACTAAGAATGCAAAAATTAGCCAGGCGTGGTGGCACACACCTGTAATCCCAGCTACCTAGGAGGCTGAGGCAGGAGAATTGCTTGAACCCGGAGGGCAGAGGTTGCAGCGAGCTGAGATTGCACTATTGCACTTCAGCCTGGTGACAAGAGCAAACTCCATCTAAAAAAAAAAAAAATGTAAAAAGTCACCAACTTAGGCCAAGTTTTTAGAAGTGACTTTACCATGCTGGAGAATATGAACATGCTTAAGAGCTTCTGGTAAATTTTGAAGAGTGCAGTTGATTAACAGCCAAATATGCTTTTGAGCATAGTATATGAATGAACCCCTTATCCCCACAAAACTGAGTTTTAATCAAAAGCATGACTGCTTTTCATTTATATGGTTTCAGATCTGGCTAATGAGCTCATATCTGCCTCATCATGTCTGATCTCAATAACTCTGAAGTCAAGTTTTTCCTTCTGATTGGGATCCCAGGACTGGAACATGCCCACATCTGGTTCTCCATCCCCATTTGCCTCATGTACCTGGTTGCCATCATGGGCAACTGCACCATTCTCTTTATCATAAAGGCAGAGCCCTCGCTTCATGAGCCCATGTATTATTTCCTTGCCATGTTGGCTGTCTCTGACATGGGCCTGTCCCTCTCCTCCCTTCCTACCATGCTGAGGGTCTTCTTGTTCAACACCATGAGAATTTCACCAAATGCCTGCTTGGCCCAAGAATTCTTCATTCATGGATTCTCTGTCATGGAATCCTCAGTACTTCTAATTATGTCTTTGGAACGCTTTCTTGCTATTTGCAATCCCTTAAGATACAGTTCTATCATCACTAGCAACAGGGCTGCTAAAATGGGACTTATTTTAGCCATTAGGAGCATTCTCTCAGTGCTTCCATTTCCCATCACCCTAAGGAGATTAAAATATTGTCAAAAGAATCTTCTTTCTCACTCATACTGTCTTCATCAAGATACCATGAAGCTGGCCTGCTCTGACAACAAGATCAATGTCATCTATGGCTTATTCATTGGTTCCTGTATTATGCTGGACTTGGCATTGATTCTTTTGTCTTATGTGCTGATCATGAAGACTGTACTCAGCATTGCATCTTTGGCAGAGAGGCTTAAGGCCCTAAATACCTGTGTCTCCCACATTTGTGCTGTGCTCACCTTCTATGTGCCCATCATCACCCTGGCTGCCGTGTACCGCTTTGCCAAGCACAAAAGTCCTTTTGCTGTAATCGTTATTGCAGATATGTTCTTGTTGGTGCCACCCATTATGAACCCCATTGTGTATTGTGTAAAGACTCGACAAATCTGGGAGAAGATCTTGGAGAAGTTGCTTCACATATGTGGGAAATAAGAATGTGAATAATTAGGTAATAAATTATCAACCGGTAAGCATTTACTGGCATTTGCTATGTGTTTAAGGCTACAGAAGTCACAAATGAAGGACTGGAGCAAGGTACTGAAAGCTGTGTAGTGCAGAATTTATAATAAAGTTGAGAATATAATTTAACAGGATAGAAAAAAATAATCAAGAGATATATAAGATATAGAGGTTTAATTAACATTTTAAGAGGAGTTGAAACAAAACACTTATATGATGAAGCAGCTGGATTTGAGCCAGCCCACAAAGAATTAATAAAATTAGGGCAGATTGAGATTATCATTCAACTAGTATCTATTAAAAGTACAGATGATATACAAAGTCTAAGCTCGTGCTATCAAGGAAAGGTAAAATAGCAGAGCACATAGCAACTATGAAGGATGCTGATCTGATTAGAATAGAAAGTATAATTTAATAAATAGCAAGTGATAGTTTTGCATAAAATAAGTGAACCAGATTTTGGAGCACTTAAGAAAAGCTTTGAAAAGTCTAAATTCAGGAGGTATTGGAATGCCAATTTAGTCTCTGCATGATAAATTTAAAGAAGAGTGTGCCTGTAAGCATGAGCAAGATGGATTGAATTTGGGGAAAATGAGGAAGATTGACAGGAGAAGGCACAATAATCCTGCTGTAAAGTAATGACTTAGGAAAGGCAGGGAGAGAACAAAATCATTTAGCTGTTATTGTTATTTTTTTTCTAACACCAACATGTAATTTATAGACAATTCTCACACATTTAACTAAGTGACTAAAAGATAATTTTAAAACCCCTACGATTTTGCTGTTCAGTTTTTTCCTGTGATTTAGTCTTTCCCTTCACCTTAAAAAAAGTTAGCCCTTCTAATGTTTTTAAAAATTGATTCCTGCTGGACATGGCATTTGGCACCACAGTATTTTTCATGGAAATTTATATTTTAAACTGTTTTCTCATGTACAGAGGAAATATTTTATGGAAAAATCAAAAGATTTCATATTCAGTTGAAAATACAATTTGAAGGATGAAAGTTAAGACTGACATGGCAATCTCTCTGGGGTACTGAGGTAAGAGTAGCTTAAACAGGAAAGAAAAGCTTTTCAAAGGAACTGGAGGTTTGAATGACGGATTTGAATTTTGTCTTGAGGATTTGGCACAGGTGACTGAATATTCAAAAACCGGTAACTACAGAGAATTTGAAACAGGAAACCTAGATGCTGCTTATCTGCCATGACTAGGAAAGTAGCCGTGTCCCTCTTAGACAATGATCCTTGGATATAGACATGGGAGTAAATAGATATTTTAAGCCAAGTTTGGTTGTCAAACTGTGAAGATCCTACCTTGCTAAAGTCTAATATGCTTCTTCACCCATGATTTTCCACTGCTGTTATTTTAGCTCATGTTTAAAACTTCCCCTGGATTCTCCAGTCAAGCTATTTGAAAGATCTTTCTAAAATGTAAACTTAACCAACTTAAAATGCTTCGATACCTGTGCAGCAACTTACAAGATAGTGGCAAGTCTCTGTATATGTACAAAGCCTTTTCCATCATTCAGTACCTGCTTTTCTCTACTGTGTCTCTATAAATATTCTCTGTCCTACACTTCAACAGAGTAACATAAACACATCATGTTACTTTTATCCAAACCTCTGCTTTTTGTGTATTTTTTTGTCAGAAATGCTGCATTTGTTTTCTATTTCTGCATAACAAATTATTAAAAACTTAGTGGCTTAAAAAAATACAAATGTATTGTCTTACAAACCTGTAGGCTGGAGTTATGACATGGGTTTCATTGGGCTAAAATCAAGATGTTAGCAAGCCTGCATTCCTTTTTTAAGAAATAGAGGAAAATCTGTTTCTGTGAATTTTCTGGGTTCTAGAGGTAATCCACAATTCTTGCCTTATGGATCCCCTCCTTAATCTTCAAACCATGGACATTGCATCTCCTGTGACTTCATTGTATCATCTCATCTCTTTCTGACCATGGCCAGTAACAAGTCTCTACTTTTAAGGACTCATATAATTAGATTGGGTTCACCTGGATAATATTGGCTATTCTGCCTACATTAAGGTTTTGAATGTTAATTAAACTGCAAAGTATCTTTTGCCGTGTAAAGTAATATATTTACAAATTTCATTGATTATAATGTTGAAATCATTAGGAGAAGGTGCACTCTGCCTACCACAAATGCATTTCCTCAATTCTCTTTATCTTGTTTATTTCTGTAGCAGGACATAGCTAGATGTACTGTATTCAGCTTTGCCGACACATTTTTGCTCCAAGTGTGACAAATTTATACATAAATTTTGTTCCCTTTCTTATACACTGATTGATCTACACCATAATTTAAAATAAATAGGAGTCTTTAATTGTTTAAAAGATTGTTTACCTCTCTGCCAAATTGTAAACTCCACATGACACTTATGTCTGCACATCTTCGTTTTTCTATACCTCTAGGGCTTAGCACACATTAGGACAAATAAGGGCCCAATAAATATCTGTTGGTTAATTTGCAAATGTGTGAGTGACCGTCATGGAATAAAAAAACTGCTCATTTCCTAAGCTCGAAATCTTAAGCATTCCCTGAGGATGGAGTCCTCAAATTGTAATATGTCAACCATATCCAATTGGAAGATATCATGACTTCTTCAGGCAGTTTCTTTCCTCCTGCTGCAATCATGCCAGGCCTAAAGCACAAACTGTAGTGTCTGCCAAAACTTACTTGTCTTCTCTGCTAAAGGCCTGAGGTACTCAATAGATACTGGTTGCATGAATACTAAACCTACAGTCACTGCAAATTCTGATTTCAGTGTATTACTGACTGCACTTTTAGACAGCCTCTTTCTCTCAGTTTACCACTTAAGTATTTTTGACAATAATTATTTATAATAGTCTTTGTCATCAACAAATAACAAATAATGATTTCAGCAAATAATGGACTTAAGCTATCTCTTGGCTTTTTCTAAGAATACTTGCTTTGCTTAGGATGCTATTTTTCCTTAATTTCACCCAGATAACTTCTGGCTGACCTTCAGGAATCAGTTAGTAGATCATCTGAAGTTGCAAAATATTTCAGACACCTTCACTAGACAATTTCTTGAGAATGGGAAATGTGTCTTGTTCATCAATTTATTCCTATTAATTTTTGCAGAAATTGTTCAGTGAGTGTTGAATAATGAATAAATGCACAGATGTCAGTCTTGTCTAGCACCCCCCCACCATCTTCAATTCACTAATTAATGTAGCTTCCAGCTTACTTCACTCCAGCCACACTGGTCCTCTTGCTGTTGCTAGAACACTCAGGTTTATGTCTATCTCAGGACTGCTATACTTGTTCTGCCATTCTTCAATGTTCATCCCTCAATTTTTATTTTTCAAATACCTAACTCCATCATATCACTCATAATTTTGTTCAGAATATCCCCTCTTTATAGAGGCCATCCCTGCTCATCCGTTTAATTGCTCTTAACCCATCACCCCACTATATTTCCTTCAGAGTACTTAGCAGTGTGTGAAATAATCATTTTCTATGCTGTTGTCTGTCTCTACCACCAAAATGTGTCAAGAGAACAGGTTTTGTTATCCTTTTGCCCACTATATTCCTATAATGTATGCTTAGAGAAAGGAGAACACTCAACAACTTTTTTTTTTTTACCCATCTAACTTCTGCTTATAAGCACTTTAAGCCTTAACTTAGGCAACCCCTTTAGAAAACCAGCTACGGCCCTTCATACCCTCCAGGTGGTTTCTGGAGTCCCTCATTCACTTGCCACACATTCTTCATGGTGTTTTTGGTCTGTGTCATTATGTTTATGATTTATGTAAGGAATTAAAATAACTAAAGTTTATTGTGAATAAAAGAACATACTAAGCATTATCTTTGAATGTTTTTCATATATGATATAGCTAAATTGCATAGACAGCCTTGTGGGGTAGACACACAAAAAAGGAAGTTTTAGTTATTTTAAATAGAAAATTGATCTCAGATAAATAAAATAATTTGTCCAAGTCACACATTGAGGAAGTCGAACTTTCTATACCAGATTCCAAGTTTAGTGTACTCTCTATTATATCAAATACATTTTAACTTATAATTAGCCATAAGAAGACATAACTCCTTTATGGGAACTGAAATTACAAGTACACATCACAGAGAGAATCCAGCTATGAAGCTGTATGCATGCCTCAAACTTTTCAGTGATATAATGTGTTTTTCTGGAATTTTCTGTATATACAAACTCAAAAGACATGCACAACTCATGACATTCACAGACATATTATATTTTATTCAACTTGCTGTGTACAGCTAATCATAGGTCTTCTGCATGTTGATCCCATAATTCACATATACATATTGTAAAAATAAGGAATTCAAAATGAAAGATGTTGGAATATTGAGCCTTAAAGGAATGTGATCGTGGGATCTGAATCATGTAACAGGCAGCTATAACCTAGGCAGCTGTAATCTTTGTTTCTCTTATTATAATTATTCTTTTATTTAATTATATTGTTTTTTAAAATGTTGTAAAAAACTACAGAATGCAAGAGAAGACCTTTTCCCACTTCATTGTTGATCTTCATTACAGATTAACTTACGTTTTGTTTCTCTTACACAAAAACGTAAGGACTAACATGCTGTCTAGGCTGGAATGTTAAATATACTCTTTCAAATTGAAAAATGAACAAGCTGTAAGTATTCAAATTACTATAACTGACAAGCCAGATTTGCATGGAAAATGTTGTAATCCTCTTAAATTTATTTGCTTTCCACATATATAATCAAGTCCTTAATGTTTCAGCTTTGGAGCAATGACCCCATTCTTTGGGGTCTGTGTTACCCAAATGGTCATTCTCAACTTTGTGGCAAAATAAGCTCTTTTAAACTGGGTTATGATCCTTTTGATTATTTCAGGGTTGATAATATCATTGCAGAAACAGTGTTCTCACGAGAAACAGGATGGGACACTAGTGTTAGGAGCTGGGGCGTATCCAGTGTTAAATGTCATGTGTAACAGACAGCCTTGGAGGAGACCAACCTCAGGTGAGAACTGGATCCACATATACACTTCATAGTAGAAGACATTGTGTTCAGACACACCCTTTCTTGATCCTGCACTGAAACTGTGCAGGAACGTGACATTCTTATGCTTTTCTCTAGGTGTTTAAATTTCTCCTTGGCAACACCATATTCAAGCTTGCTTTCCTCACAGTTACCTCCAAACCAAAACTGCAAATACTATATTGACATGTATTGCTCAAAAATGTAACTTTTTATCTAGAATATCTTGAGGGTACAATCACAATATAACATATAAAATCGGGAATAACACTATTTCTCCTTGGTTCCTTGGCTTATAATCTTTCTAACGTAGTCAGTACCTCAATCTGTTTCCACTTCACCTCATTTTTCTTAAACCTTCCAGACATTCTAGAGAATAAAAATGGCAACAAAAACCACGCTTCAGATAATTCTCAGAATACATTGTCCTCTCTCTCACTTCAGCTTTGCACATGCAGTTCCTTCACCTGGAACATATTTTTGTCTCCTTCCTCATATAGTTTTTGACTGCCTAATGTCTACATTTCCCTTAAGCCTACTACAGTGTCAACTCAGGGAAACCTTTTTTGGTGATCATTTCCGCCAGCTAGGAGAAGACAGCTCCTAAACCAACCTCTTTTTACTTTGAGTAATACAATTAACATGTGATTCTATAATGAATCATCCCAAAATTTAGTGTCTTAAAAATATTTATTTTCTTTACAAATCTGCAATTTGGGCTGAGTCAGAGAACAATCGACTGCTTTACCAGATCCCAGTTGGAGAAGCTGGAAGGTTGGAGAATGGAATAATCTGAGGATTCTTCACTAACTTGTGTTTAACACCGACTCTGCTAAGGTCTCAGTCTCAGCTGAGTGAGACCTTAGCTGAGCCTATTGGATGGAACACCTACATGGGGCCTCTCCACGTCATCTGGGCTTCCTCTTAGTATAGGGGCTGAATTTCAAAAGCAAGTGTTGAGTGAGACAGACAGAAATAGTGATGCAATGGAGATGGACAGAGCATGTGGGGGGCTATTTCCACAATATTCAATTTGTGAGGGATTTACAAATTCCTATCCAGTTACAAGGGAAGAAGAAATAAACCCTATCTCTTTATGAGGTGTGGCAAGTTCGTGGAAGAGAATGTGGGATTGGAATTATTTCTGTGGCTGTTTTTGGAAAATAGAATTCACCACATCATACTACATTTTCTACCCCCTCTCCTCGCCACAACAGAAAGAGGGTTCTGCAAGGACTATGACTCATCCCTGTACATATTTGTTGAGTAAATAAATGTCTCCTTTATTTTACAAATGTTAGAAACTATAAAGGATAGGAAAACAAGGTCATGTTTCAGGAGACATTGCCTCTAACACTAGACACAGTTACAAAAGGCATGAGTCACTCGTTCCCGGATCTGTTTGGTCTTCACGCTGTAGACAATGGGATTCATCACAGGAGGGAAGAGAAGATACATGAAACCCATGACCACCTGGACCAGGTGGGGTACCTGCTTTCCAAAGCGATGGATGACAGAGAGGCCAATCATGGGAGTGTAGAAGAGCAGCACAGCACAGATGTGGGAGGCACAGGTGTTAAAAGTCTTGAGTCTCTCAGCCCTGGAGGTGATGGAAAGCACGGTGCGCAGGATCAGGGCGTAAGAGAAGAGAATGAGCAGGGAGTCTATACCCACTGTGGAGACAACGACAAACATGCCATAGATGCTGTTGGCCTTGATGTCAGCACAGGCCAATTTCATCACTTCTTGGTGGAGACAGTAAGAATGTGAGAGAACTGGGAGGCCACAATAGGAGAATCTTTTGAGCATAAAAGGCAATGGAAAAATAAGTGCTATACTACGACCCAGAGAGACCAGGCCAATCCTGCCAATGACTGTGTTGGTGAGAATGGAAGCATAGTGCAAGGGGCGGCAGATAGCCACAAAGCGGTCAAAGGCCATAGACAGTAGCACAGAGGACTCGAGGAAGGACAAACAGTGAATGAAGAAGAGCTGAGCAAAACAGGCATCATGGCTGATTTCTCGTACTCCAACCCAAAAGATGCCCAGGACTGTAGGCAGAGTGCAAAGCGACAGACCCAGGTCAATCAGAGCCAGCATGGACAGGAAGAGATACATAGGCTCATGGAGCGAGCGCTGTGTTTTAATGATAAAAAGAATTGTGCAGTTGCCCAGGATGGAGACCAGGTACATGAAGCACAGTGGGATGGAGATCCAGATGTGCATGTGCTCCAGCCCAGAAATGCCACTCAGCAGGAAGGTAGAGGAAATGCTGCTGCTGCTGTTTCCCAGGGATTCCAGGGTCATTGTGTGAGGAGACATGGGGGAAGGTGAGTGCCCTCCAAAATCCTGAAGTAAATTGAGGCAGTACCAGTGATTGCACCTAGTGGAAATTAAAGGAAAGAAAAATAGAATTAAATATACCTAGAACTGTGCAGTTCCTTCTAGTGGCTATTTCTTTCTGGTTCTTGGCTTCCTCTCAGTATCTTTTGGAGGCAAATATATTTAGTCTCATAGTCTCCGTAAGAAAGAAAAGACATGGAATTGTGAAGTGCTGAGCCACGCTGGGCGAGTTGGAGATTCTAAATGAGCTTCTCCACCCTTTTTGCTCTTTTCTGAATTCTGTATCAACCAGGTCTTCTTAGCCTCTGGACTTTTTACTAATCTCAGCCAATGGGATGTACCCAGGAGAGATAAGAGCATGGGAGGAAGGAGAGTTCAGGTTCCCTCTCCTGGCATTGTGGGTTGGCAGTGACTGTGTTCTGCCACTGAAGGCCACAGCTGCTGTTGGGGACTTTTCTCTTATAGTAGCGTGCTCCTTGCTCTCTGCTCCTTCAGACTAAGGAGTAAGAGTTTCCTCATTAATCCTGCTGGCCGTATTTAACTTTGCCTGTCTTTTGCAAATAGATATTTTACAAAAAAAAAAAAAAAAATCCTCACATGCTTTTTTTCTACCAGGCCTCTCACTAATATTCCAACTTTTATTTCATTTTCTTTTCTTTTCCCTTATCTTACTATACTTTTTTTGCTATACTTTTAGTTTTTTTCTTTCTTTCTCTTTTTTGTTCTTGATTTACTTCTCCAGGCACATACAAGCCCTAATTCTAGGCACAGACCAGCCCTTCACTCACCTTTTCCTCTGGTCTTCCTGATATAGCCAAATAGTAAAGACAAATGAGATTCAAACCAATATTTGACTTTTCTCTAGACTTCAGGATATAAACAATGATTACTCTTTCTTGACACATAGATAATAATTCAGTGTCAACTATCAGAGCTAGCTCAACAGGGCTTCAAAAAACATTGTGATTCTTTAGCTGAATAAGTAAATAAACTAATTGGACAAATACACATAAAGATCTGCACAGACACTTTCTCACTCCAGTCACGGTGGCATTAATAGTCAGTGCCATTAATTCGCTGTCCACTTGAAGATCATACAGGGACTCATGCTGCGCTCCTCAGCTTCTGCTGTGATCATGATCAGTGGTAACCAAATTACACATCAAAGTGAATTCGGAAGAGATGGGATAAACTTGCCTGTCAGGGACAGGTAAGCTACATAGCGGTTAACACTTTTAACTTCTTTTTTTTTTTTTTGAGACAGGGTCTCACTCTGTTGCCCAGGCTGGAGTGCAGTGGCATGATCTCGGCTCACTGAAACCTCTGCCTCCTGGTTTCAAGCGATTCTCCTGCCTCAGCCTCTTGAGTGCCTGATATTGCAGGCACATGCCACCACACCTGGCTAACTTTTTTTTTTTTTTTTTTTGTATTTTTAATAGAGATGGGGTTTCACCATGTTGGTCAGGCTGGTCTTGAACTCCTGACCTTGTGATCTACCCACCTCAGCCTCTGAAAGTGCTAGAATTACAGGCATGAGCCACCATGCCCAGCCAACAATATAACTTTTATGTATTCTGTAGAATCGCTTTTTATTGTATTAATGTAATTGTCTCTAAATGTGGCAATGTTTTCATTGCAGTGTTTCATAATTATTATTGTAAAAAAAATCACAGATCCTGGCAAATAGTAGATGTTCTTCAGTAATTCCATTTTTCTCTCCTTCTTTACCTTATTTTGTTTAATGTCAAAATAACTTAAGGCGGAAAATATTTTTGATATGAAAATAAAATAGGATGGTGAAGAAGAAAGAAATGGAATTACTGAAGAACAGCTACAATTTGCCAGCCTCTGTATTAGAGATCTTCCAAAAATAATCGCACTCACACTTTAGAAAAACTTTGCAAGTTAGTATTATTGCCTCAATTTGCAAATGAGGAAAGAGAGGTTTAGAGAATTTTATAATATGCTTAGAATCATGCAGCCAGCCAGTACTAAAGTTGGAACTCATACTCAGATCTCCGTAGCTCCAAGGCACATACTGAAAGTTTGAAAAAATTTGGTTAACAAATCCCAGCAATTGTTTAAGTTAAGGCAGCCTGAAGCGGGTGGAGGTTAAATTACAAAGATACAGAGGAATATTAAATATCCGGGTCACATCTTTGTTTCCTATAAACTCATCTTTGGGATTGTTTCCTATAATCCCAAAGACACTTTGGGATTGGAACTTGTGCTTCATATTGTAAGGCAGTATAGTAGAATAGGAATCAGAGAAAATAATGAGGATAGGTTGGCAGAGGGGACTTGAAAATAAAATTCAGAATAATGATGCCAGGAGATAATCTGCCTGGAAAAGATCATCTTTAGCCAGTTGGCCAGAGAGTTCTTAGTATGATCATTATTCTAAGCACTTCTCATTTAAAATCATCGCAGAATCCATTAGCAGGTTTGGTGTGGACTGCATTATTTCTGATCAGGACTCAAGCAATTGTCCAGAATATGATGGTATCAAGAGGAAAGACTTAACCCATTGCCTTTCTGCCCTCAAATTGTCTTGCTTTAAGACTACTTTTTGAAGGAACTTGAGCAAGTTGAATGACTGTTCTGATTCCATTATAATAGACCACACTTTGTGATCACTCAGGGAAATATCCTTCCCAAAGGGTCAAACTGCTTCCTATCCATATCCTTGTTTCTTGGAAATAACTCTTGCTTCTACTAACTTGTGTCTGAGACTGGCGGATAGATGTTGAACCTTTAATAACTGAGCTCGGTTCATGCTTGCATGACAATTCTGCCCACCTAACTTGCTTAACTCTCTGGGTCTCATCAATATTCCTGCTGTTACCACATAGGAGGCAAGTGTCCAGGCAAGAAACCAAGGAAGTTGGTGAATGTGAGAAAGCTGTTGCCTACTTTCTGAGCTGGTGCTAAGGTCAGACCTGGGATCCCATGAAGCCAGCAAGATCTGATTGTAGCAGTTACCATCTTTAGCAGGTGCCCTCTTCAGCCTTTGGATAGTCAAAGTCCCTTCTATCCTTTTTTTCTCCAAAGCTGAGGCTGAGCCTTCGGGGATCTTTTCTTGGCTCCACACTCAGCATCAAACACCTGCCTACTATATAAACTCACATACCAAGGCTAAAATTAAAGGCCATAAGCACTGTAGAGTGACTGGAGGATGGCTGTTTAAATCCATGGTTTTTATGCTACTGACCAAGGTATCCACTGAGACCCTTTAAAGGATCTTTAATCAATTCCCTAGTAGGCCTGTCTCCCTGGACCTCATTACCTCAGACCCTGGAGACAAGAGAAAAAAGGAGTGAGGAGACTAGTATTGTGAGATACCTGGATGAGAAGCCCAGAGGATACCATGCACCAGCCACTGGTGAAGAACATGGCAAAAGTTTTGAACCAACTCCAAAATTTTGGAAAAGCAGAATGGGTGCTATTGATAATGTTTTATGTGTGACATAGCATAACTCCAGTTTATGCACACTGGAGAATTAAATTCACTTTACGATCATAAGTGAATTTAAAAAGGGATTTTTCAAATGAATGCTTTCTCCATCATCAAGGGGAGAAAGGAAGTCAGGCTAGGTTCTTGGAAATATTGGGATTGTATTGATAATTATTCTGGGGGCTCAGGTAACCCTGCATGCTCCTGACCCTGCCTACTCTCAGGAACTGCATCTCCTCTTGCTGTCTCTGATCCACTCAGAACTCAGTTCTTTGTTTCTAGACGTCCAGGAGATAATTGAAGAAACTAATCCATTCTTGTACACTTGGGGATGAAATGAGCCCCTGCAAAAGGTAATTAAAACTCAAAAGGAGTTTTTATGTGATTACAAGGGTATGAAGAGTTAATTATCCATTTGTGCCCCTGGGAAAGCTGATGAAGAAGGCATTTTAGAGAGAGAAGAGAAGGGGTATTTTAGTGTTTTCATTAGCCAGATAATTGGTAACCAGCTTACTTGATTTATCTTGAGAGTTTAAAGGTATAAATATTAATAAATGCCCTACGGTACCAAACCATGCACCAGAGGTGATTTCAATTTATTGGCTTGGCTGATCCCTTTGGAATGTGGTAAGCTTCCTCTTGTGGCCACAGTACTCTTTGGTTGAGCATGTTGTATAAACATTTAAGGGTCATGAGACAGTGTTTTTCAACTCAGAGTTCCCAGATAATATGGATCAGAAACTTATGATACTTGTTAAAATGTAGATTTCTGGTTCTCATTCCTGCAGAAAAAAAAAAAATCAGAAATTTTGACATTTGTAACAGCTACAAAGGTTTAGGAACTTTCACATATCTTTGTCTTATGATTTTTCAACTCTAATTATAGAATTTTTATCTCTTCCATAATTAAAAGTACATCTGTACTTTTAGTGTAGGATTTGTTCTAAAACACAGTTACCTATTGTATTAGTTTGCTAGGGCTGCTGTAACAAAATACCATAAACTGGTTAGCTTAACAACAGAATTTCTTTTCTTTTCTTTTCTTTTTTTTTCTTCTCTCTTATTTTCTTTTCTCAGTTCTGAAGGCCAGTAAAATCTAAAATTAAAGTGGTAACAGGTTTTTTTTTTTTTTTCCTCCAGAGGCCTCTCTCCTTGGCTTGCACATGGTCACCTTCTCGCTATGTTCTTAGATGCCCTTTTCTCTATGTGTGTATGTCCCTGTTTTTTTGTTGGCTATCCAAACTTACTCTTCTTTTAAGGACACCAGTTATATTGAATTGGGGTCCACTGTATTGGTCTTATTTTAACTTAATTACCTTTTTTATGCCCACAGCACCATACATTCTATCACTCTTTTATTAATCTATTTAATATTTTATAACCCAAATAATATTTTGCATATGATAAAATCATATATTTTATTTTCTGCCCCCCACAGGTAATTATTCACAGCCTCTGAGACCAAGCTCTGGGAGAAGAGAGCTGGTATTAGACATGTTTTGGCAGAAACTAGATTTGAATTCCAGATATCTGGAAAGAGA